AGAGAGAAAAGAAATTTTAAAAACCAGACCAGGAGACTCAACATATTAATAGAAGGAGCTCCAGAAAGAGAAAAACAAAAGGAAGAAGTAATCCAAGAAATCCAAGGGTATACTAAGAATAGTCCATAATTTCTAAAAACGAAAAGCAAAAAATGAAATCGGATACAAGAATCCAAGAACCAGGATGGCTCTGAGTTCTCAAGCCATATAGGAAACAGGAAAACAATGGATTATGGATTCCGACATTTGCAAAAACAGTTTTCAACCTTTAACTGTATACCCAACTATAAGCACAGAATAATGACGTTTTCATTGATACAGTACCTCAAAAAAGCTTACTTTCTATACCTTTTTCAAGAAGGTACTAAGAAAAAAGAAGACATATGATACAAAAAGCTGAAGATCCAGAGAGGAGACAGCAAAAGGAGATCTCAGGACAACTTGCCAGCATCAGACAGAGGGCAACTAGTGGCGTGTAACTCCAAGACAGACATGATGAGGTATCATCACCAAGATCCCAACAATTGTCAATATAGCAGCAGAATTTAAGAACTATATGGAGAAAATAGAATAATCAATTGTTTTGGTGCCTAAGAGGGCAGAAGGAGATGAAATATGTTCCAAAGCCAAGACCAAAGATCAGCTTTGCAATAGAAAAAACTCTTGTACTTAAGTCTTCAATACAAAATCCTCTGCTTCTAAACTGTCCATATAATTTTAAAAAAGATTCTAACTAGGGCATTATCACCTTAACATCTACTCAGAACAATAAGCATTTCTAAATAAGGTACCCTAAAACTGTGGTCAATTCAGTGATGGAAGCCAATAGAGTGATGGATGGGAGTTTTCCAATACTGCAGATCCACAGAATTAGCCTGAGGAAGAAATAAGTTAGTCACACTACATTTTTAAGGATCTTCTGCCTCTATATTAAATCAATACTCTAAAATGTTCCATGAAACGAAAAATTAGAAGCATAATCTACCTAATGCTGATTAAAAACAAGCATGGGGACTTCAAAGGAAGTTCAAGAACACCTAATAATCTGACAGTTGGTCAGGTTTATTAACTTTCTCTTTGTTTTTGGCAGAGCACAGGTCCCCCAAATAAGGTATTTTTTTCTGGTTTATTGAAGGACATCTTCTTTTGGTGTAGATTCAATTTTGAAAACATAGGATTTGGGTTAGAGATATAGGTCGGTAGTAAAGCACTTACCTAGCATGCATGGGACCATGGGTTTGATTCCCTATACCACAAAACAAAATGGGTTGTTTGTTTACTTAAGTGGTGCTAGGATTCAACCCAGGGCTTTCTACATTCTTGGTGCACACTCTTATCACTGAAGCTACCCTCAGACTAAGATTTTAGTTTTGCTGCTGTTTAAGCTAATATTAGCTCATTTTAAAATATTCATGGTAGGGGACACCTGTGCCATTATAAAAACTAAATGCTATCGATGAAGAATCAGTCAGTAAAGCAAAACAGAAAGTGAAAAGAAGGCACAGAAATCTATGTCCAAACTGGGTCTTTGATAGGCTGGGTTATTAGAATGACTATCCAAAAATATCTAAGAATATCCTCTTTGTCATCACAAAACCAGATGTCTGTAAGAGTCCAGATCCAGATACCTATATAGTTTTTGGGAAAGCCAAGATTGAAGTTTTACCTCGGCAAGCACATTAACAGCTGCTGAGAAATTCACAGTTCAAGGTGAAGCTTTCTCAAACATTGAAGAAAACACACAGACTCCAACTGGTACAAGAAAAGAGTGAAGACGCAGAGATTAATGAAACAAGTAAGGAAGCTAAGGATACAGAATTGGTCATGTCATAAGCAATGTGTTAAGAGAAAATGCTGTCTGAGCCCTGGAGAATAACAGTTAAGAATATTATAAGTAAGGAAATGCTACAATAGAATTAACAATGTATATATCTGAAAGCCAGAACCTTTTTCTGGTGTTTCAAAAGGGTAACTACATCTTGGTTTAAAATTTGTACTGTTTCTATCATTTAAAAAGTCATGGCTTCTTTTGGATGAAAAATAAAAACTGGCATTAAGCATATTAAATGTGACAGAGTTTAGCAACTAAATGCTGTCTATGTTTCTAACAACTCTGCTAATGTTTCTAAAGCCTTAAACGGCCTCCACTTACAAATCAATGGAACGTTAGATCCCACCTTTGCCAAGAGACATCTATGAGCCATGGGTAAACTGAGCAGTGGTGGAGCCATTAGGCAGGGAAGCCTGGTATCAGGAACTCCCAGTAGGAATACACTGGTCTGAGAATGCTTAATTACATGCCCCCCTGCCTAAGCTACTGCTCAGGTTCTAACTCAGCTCTGGAGAGGGGAGTGACTCCCTGGAGCCAGACAGCCTCTGGAAGATAGGTGCAGATTGTCAAATACCAAACAACCTGTTTACTGCAAGACCTACCATACCAAGAAGGAAGCACCAAATAAGACTCCTCCCATTAGAACTTTATCCCTGCCCTTGATGTATTCCCCTTTTTCAGTTGACCAGTTCCAGTCCTATAAGACTGGAAGACCCATCAGACGCTCCACTTTTTAAACTCTAACCTTTAGCTCTGTATTTCTTACTGATTACTTCAGACATTTTATTTTCCCAGGTGGCTCACATCTCCTGAGCAGGAACCTGCTTTGTCTGGGTGTAAGACACCTCAATACACCTTAAAGTTTAATGAGTTACTATCTTCATGGTTTTCAGAGATTGGCAGAAATACTAGCTGCTTTTGTGCTAATTGTTTACAAAAAAGTAATGCTTTGCTATCTTGTTTACTATTATCCTAGCATGATCCTACCCTATGTATACTTGTCCAGTTACCCACCAATGGCAACCACGGACCTCTGGACTACCCTGATGCTGAATACCCTCAACTGTCCATGCCCCACCTGATAGAGAATAAAAATTTCAGGTTACTACCCACCAACTTCTTCCTCTCTCAGAAAGAAGCAGTTGGAGATATCTTGTCCATTTTTTTCCACAGAAATGGAAAGTAGAAATTGACAGAAGGAAAATGTAACAGGGGCCCATTTTGTGCTTTGAATATAGCCCTTGCTGCTCTAAAAATAAATATTAACAGGCACAAAAAATCATTATACAGACTGAGCATCTCTAATCCAAAAATCTAAAATCTGAAAGACTTCTGGTCCCAAGCATTTCAGATAAGGGATACTTAATTTGTAGATTATCAGCTTTGATCTAATGGTAGACATATACAGGATATAGGGAATCAAATGCTGTGCAAAGAATCATCTTCAGTAAATGTATTATTTGAAACAATACATTTTCCTAAAGCAGTCATGCTAGAATGAAGGAGAGGCCAATTCTCAGATAAGTCTGAAGCACTATGAAACACCTAATAAGATGCTAAAATATTTAACCTCTATATCCAATACTCTTTGGGAAAAGGCACACAGAGTTCTCATCTGGATATAAAATAATTTCCTGTCTCATTATTCTAACCTATGTTCTAACCAGCAGAAGTTGCAAAAGGACAAATGGCAGAAAAGGGGATTTCAGGCAATAAACAAAAAGGAAAGAAGAAATTAAAAAAAAATTTTTTTGTTTGTTTGAGATGGATACAATACCTTTATTTTGTTTATTTATTTTTATTGAACCCAGTGCCTCACAAGTGTTTGGCAAGCACTCTACCACTGAACTACAATCTCAGGCCCGGAAAGAAGAAATTTTGCAATAAGTTACTTCTTAGTCCAGTTTGACATCCTCCAACATTCCTGCCTTTTGCTAGAGGTCTCAGGAAATGTTCCATCTTTACTTTCAAACAAGGAACTTGTAATTTCTGGATAAAGCTGATCTCTTTTCCTAGAGCCTCTGTAGTAAAAAGACTGCCTGCGCCAGTTGTAACCCCATTTTTAATTGTTGATTTCCTAAAACAAGCAATTTAACTATAGCAATACATGTGTTGAAGAGTCATTAAGAACTATACATTTCAGAGTGGTGTGTTGAAAATATAAGAGAAAGATAGAATAATCCAATGTTTGGGTTCTTAAGAAAACAGGAAAGAAGGAGATGCAATCCAAAGTGGAGTCTGTCTGCCTGCAAGTAGAGGCAGTGGGTTAAAATGGTTTTCTTCTCCTCCCCTTCCCCCTTTCCTTTACTTCTGTGAAGTTTCAAAATAAATACAAAATAAATAAAAACATAGCCTTTGATGAGGAAAGACCAGGATATACAAATTGTAATCCAATCTTCAGTATTTCAGAGTAAAACCCAGAGTAGAAGACATCTTCATATAACCACCAGCATTTTTTGTTTGTTCAACTCAAAAATCATCAAATATTAATGCATAATTTCACCTACTAAAGATAAAATCATGGCACTTGGAAAAAAATCTAAGTTTTTTAAAAACAAAAAATAGCCAAAATTCTGGTTAATAAGTAATTCAGACTTTCTTAAGCAATACACTATAAAAATATAAAACACACCTTTTTATAAAAATATTGTCATACTATATACTTTTTTGTTAAACCTGTTTTTAAAAAACTATTTTGCAGAAAATAACAAATAATAGTACAACCTAACAAAAAATAAAACTATGCTGAAATACCAGCCTTTCTCTGATAATTCAGAAGGTACTTGAAGATTCTATCTAGCTTCAATATTTTACTGAATCTAAAGACCTGAGTCTCAGGAAATAGCTCAGAAGCAGTTTCCCAGCTTAAGAATTATGTCACACTTTATATATCAATCTTGTCTTTTATATATCAATAATCACTATTTAGCAAATATCTTCTATGTCTAAGGAATAATGCAATCCTTTACTGTGAATTGGCTTTAAACATTAAAAATTAATTCCAAATTACTTGAAAACAAAGGTCAGTCACCAATATTGAGCACATTCTAATGAAATAGAAAGTAGCCTTGTTAGTATTCTATATTCAATCCTATGTACATAACACCCAGCTCATGGGTTGTTTGTTTTTAATGAAACAAAATTATCACAGATATTAAAACTGTATTACCTTCATAATGTTAACTAAATCTGTTTGATAGTAGCGATCCTGATGTGCATTTGCTGCTGCTAGTGTAAGAAGATAATCATTCCTTGCGTGGGTAGCTTTGGAATTACACTCAGATCGACGGGCTTTTAACTAAAACATAATAATAAAAGGAAAAAAATCAGTACAAACTGATACTGCATGGAAAAACAGCAATTAATGGCTCCCCACCAAGAGTTAAAATAACAATGTTGAGAAAACATTTACATGTATATAAAAATTATACTTCACTATTAAGAAATGAAATAGTACCTGAAAACATGGGGAGAACATTTTTAAACCTTTGTTATTTATACTTAACATAATTCCAAAGTTTTCTACAGAACTGAAAAATATTTTTTTGAGTTTATTGAGATGGGAAAATAACGGTTCTAAATAAAGGTTCCTTATTTTTGAAGACATGGGTAAATCTGGAGGTTTTAGATACTAGTATTTTAAAAATCAACAATCCAAATGTGTCAGAAGAACTTCCTGTTGGTGGGGAGCCTGGCAACAAACTCTGGTCTCTAAGCTTACTTGACAGGTACTCCAGTTTGAGGGCCCCTCAGAAAAACTCACTTGCACCAGCCCAGAAGACCTGGTCAGAGGTCTAAGTCTGAGTGAAATGATACTACAGCGCTTCTGAAAGCCCCTGAACTTTGTCTCTTGGACTAAGAGTTAAATATACAGACTACGTGAGTTGTAACGCATCCAAACCTACCCCTCAAGTAGTCTTGGGAAGCAAGCTATGTCCAGTGTCCACACCTGGGTGAAAAATCCCATTACTGGGAAGGAAAGTTCCTCACTGGGTTAATGACTTTGAAATGCTTCTCTAAAGTAGAAAAACCCCACTTCCATTCTCAAAAGACCCAAACTTTTAAAATATAAGGTAATGTTTCTCAATTGTGAAATACACCTTTCAAAAACTCACCTTTACACTTGCTTTCTGTAAACTGATTCTTGATTGAAAAAGACTAAGTTTAGACCTATATAAAAATAGAAAAGAATGTTTAATAAAATTATATCATAATAAGATTACTAAATGTTATAATTACTAAAAAAATTAATAACTTTTCCAAGACACTGTTCTAAAGTGAATTTACAAATGAAAAGTCAAAAGTGATGCTTATTTGCCTTTATTTATATATTATATATATTAAATATTATAGGAAAATAAAAATACTGGGATTAACATATTTAAAATCCCCTTAAAAAATACAATTTGACCAAGAAAAAAAACCAAAATATATTAGTATATTCTAATAAAAAAGAGTCATCAAACTATGTTATTCCTAGTATCATATAATTCCACACACTTCAGTTCTTTTACAAAAGGTCAGAGAAACCCCAGGGCAACCAACCTGGGGAGACCAAGGCTCTCAGAGCTATGTGTGTCAGGTGGTACAACACCAGAATGCAATCTATAGGCTCTAGAAAGTCCTTCTTTTGTTACTCCCCTCATTAAAAATGATTTGTGTTTGGGTTCTTGCCTGCTTGTGTGCCCCCTCCCTCCTAAAGCTAATCTGAACTTACTAAGAAGGCCCTTAATATTCTCTGTCCTGTAAACTTTTGTTCTATTTAATCTTCTCCCACTCTGGTGTTCTTACCTATCTCCCTTGATGCCTAAGTTTTGGAGGGGAACCATAACTGTCAGTCAGCAGTAGTATGCTGCTTTTACTTAAAGGCTAGAGATAAGTATATAGACAAAGTCAACAAACAGATGCTAAGGAACAAGCAACACTCCCATAGCCATGATTTTTTTGAAGCTGAAATGTTTGTCTTAACTGCAGTGTCATGGTGATTGCCATGGGAGAGTTCAATGCATGCACTGGCAGCTATGCCTCTTAGTATGAAGCAGAGTTGCAGACCATTTGGGACTAGAAGGTGAAGCAACCAATCTGTGCACAGACACTGTGAAGAGGACAGCAAAAGTTGCCTCTTGCATTTCTAACAAGAGAGAAAATATTCAGGGATGAATATACAGTTTCCTAACTCCTCCCCACTGCTTTAAAAAAAAAATGGGGTCTAAGATATTTCTGTTATTTCCTGCCTAATTGTATTCCTGTTTTATGGGAATTTTTTGTTTTTATTAATCATATTTCTATTCATTTTGATGTAGGAAAGCTAAGATTACCTATATTAAGATTTGAAAGTACCTGTCAGGGTAAGAAAGACTGTGCTTGAAGCACTGTCATTTCTCCTTTTTTAATAGTCATTATCCAAATAGGCTGACTTACACATGGAATGTCCAACATAAATTATAGATTTAAATTTATGGTGTCTGCTTCATTTACTAATCTGCATACACTTCTTGTATGGTATTTAGGTAGGTATTAACAATAGAATAAAATGTCCTTGAAGATGACAATTTTAAAAAAAGAAGGATTTTAAAAAATCACATACTATACAAATAAGAAACTATACTGTGTACTAGTCTTTACCATCTATCCTTCAAATGTTAATGTTCCTTGGGTCTCCAAATTCAAATTCATATCTCATTGTATATATGACTGCATCCCTATAATTGATGGACATCCTATAACCTTCAGAATTCAATTCTCAGTGCCAAATTCTCACATAAGAACAGATATTTGATCACCTCCCAAATATATCCATGAGAGTGTCTCCCAGGCTCTTCAGAATTTACATATCCAAAATGGAACTTACCATCTCCTTCAGACTAACCCTCTTCCTCCTGTAGTCTCTCCTAATGGGCCTATCATAGCATCCATCAAAACTATATTTACTTCAGTGCTTAGTCCCCTTCCTGATTTTCCTACCTCTGCTTAGAAAAAAACATACTCATTCTTCTCCCAAGAATCTGCCCAAGCATCACTTCTTCTATAAAGGTTCCTTTATCAACAGGCAATAGTAATCTCTCCATTTTCTATGCTTTCATAACAGTGTTTTCATATTACTACTCTAAGCAATTAGTGACTAGGTGAGTGTCTTTAGGTAGGTAATTTCTTTGAGTTTACTATGAATAGACAAATGATAAAGTTACTTTTTTAAATTATACGCTCTAAATTCCTTGAAGGTACAAAAGCGCACCTAACTTATCTGTGACCCATAGTGCCCAATATAATGACTAAATAAATATTAACTGAATTAAGACATAGAACCATTTTTTTTAATCTGTAGTTGAATCAATTTTCCAGAGAAGTTATACACTGAAGTAAAATGTCTCACTTTGAATTTGGCCACATGAGAAGGCAGTTCCTCGTGATCAGTTCCATGAAATAGACCTAGTCAAATACACACTTCTCAGGAACAGTCTACCTATGGCTAAATTAGGCATTTGTAGATGCTCTACAAATCTGTCACTTCTCTGTTCTAGAATCCCAGAGAGTTTAAAAGACAAGTTCCTAAAAGCCAGAATGGCACAATAATCCCAACTAAGATCTGCTAACCTCCAGATCTTATTGGAAAGATTGATTTGGTGACTCCATGAATGCATGGGAAATATCTGAATGCTCAAAAAATAAAAAAAAATAAAAACAATAAACTTTAAAAAAATATTAAATGTTACACTGTAATATCAAGTATTCAGTGAGTATTCATTCATCAAACCATCATACTAAATAAACTTCCCAGGAACCCCTGAATTTTCCCAAGATGCTGATGAAATTGCTTAAATTTCTTGCAGATAAAAGCCATTTTAGGAAGCTAGGTGTGTTAGCACACACCTATAAATAATAGCTACTCAGGAAGCTGAGTCGGGAGGATAAATAGTTTGATCCCAGCCTGGGCAACATAGAGAGACCCTGTCTCAACAATGACAACAAAACAACATGTTAGAGGTAACCCCCTCCTTGCTGGACTACTTGTACAATTGTCCAAACCTTTCTGATTTCATGCCTAGGAGTTTGGACTCCTAGATTTTGCAACAATTAGCACTGTGAACAGAAGTCTTAGCTCTCCTGATCACAAGCCTCCTAAATTCAGTTCTATTACACAGGTTTCCCACCCCCCCACCAATATTTATCATACTTCCTCAAAGTGTCATTACAAAAATCTCTATCGCTTGATTGGTATCTCCTATTACCAATTACCAGTTCCTTTCTTTCCTTAATAGGCTCAGGCTAGGGTTGTGGCTCTAAGGTAGACCAATTGCCTAGTGTGCATGAGGCACTGGGTTCAATCCTCAGCACCACATAAAAATAAAATTAAAAAAAAAAGTCTCAAAATAAAGGACTATAATTCACATATACTGAAAGTTATATTGACAAAATTGTTAAAGCATACTTTAAAAAGGAGAAATATGAGAATTATATGTACAATAAAAAACAGTGCTTGGTATAGGGTTTTAAAAGGAGGTCAGTGCTCTTGGTCACTTGATGTGCCATTGTTCCTTCAATGACACCTTGAGATATTATACGGATTTGAATTATAACTGAATTTTAGAGTCTAGCATGATAAAATGAGGCTCTTAAACCCTACTTTCAGATATCATCATGGCTTTTACTAGACTCTCCATAAGTTTTCAAGTCTGTAAGTACAATGTTCATTTATCTTGTCTAAATATTCGATTTAAAGGTCAGAGATTCCTACTTTGCCACTTTAACAGAAAAAAAACAGTCGATATAAAATGAAAAGGGGACCTAAAGTACATAACATATGTAGAACAAATGAAACCAACACAACCTAAGAACAAATCTATATGCTATATAAACAGAGAACAAAGTATTAATTAGCAAAAATAACATTTAACTGCATAATAATTTTCTCAGAAATATTAAAATACATACTTTGCCTCAATGTCAGCTTTCTCTCGCACTGCATGAGCCATCTGCTCAGTCTCAAAGTACTTCTTTTTGCCTTTAGCTAAATCTTTCACTGTCTCTTGTAATTCAGTTTGGATCTTTGTCAACTGGTCCACACACTGTAAAATACAAAAGTGCAATTATTACAATTTTTAGATTTCAGGCTGACAGAAATAAGTTTGTCCGAAGGACCATGCATTATTCCTTCAGGATGGAAACCCAAGAGAAAAATCAGCACTTTTAATGACTTTCAAATTGCAAATTAGAATTCCATGCACAGCTGGTACTTCCATCTCAAGTACTGTATCAAATAGTGTCACAGTTTGCCTAACAATCATGACTGACATTAAGGTAAGGCATAAGAAGAGCAATCATAAAAAGGCTTGCTGTTGTAGATATCATGGCAATAAAGAAAAAAAGAATAAACCAATTCTGCTATCTTCATAATCACAGTCTCCTTTTTCTAAGTTCTAAGAAGATAAAATGATTAAGAGCTTAAGTAGTCTACTAAGGTAAAGGAGTTACATGTATTTTTCTGTAAAACTGTTTAAATATTAAATTTCAACAGTTTTTTGTTTATTTTTACTTATTTATTTTTTGAAATTCTGGGTTCAAATCTAAATCTCTTTAAATCTGATAACACTATAATGGATATGGTGGCAGTTTACAAATTCTAAATTATTAGACAAATATGAGTCACAATTCTTTCTTTTATTTTTGTGGCACCGGGGGCCAAGCAGAGATTTGTAGATGCTAATGATGTGCTGTACCACTGAGCTAAAACTCAAACCCCCAAATCACAGTTATTTCAAGGAGGGTAGATAAACTCTAGCATAAATGAGAAAAATATGGACAAAGGCACTACTAAGTAAACAGAAGAATAGCAAAAAGCCTTATGTTACTGTGGATCTTGTTCTGATTTAAAAGCAAATATTCACATATAAAAAATGATCCAGAAGGGGCTGGGATTGTAACTCAGTGGTAGAGCACTCACCTAGCACATGCAAGGCCCTAGTTTTGATCATCAGTACCACATAAAAATAAACAAAATAAAAGCAATTGTGTCCAACTACACCTAAAAATAAATATTTTTTTAAAATGATCCAGAAAAGGTTAGGGTATTATTTTAATTGTAATTTTCGTTATAATCTTAAGTCCTTCATAATTATAATCTGTCTGTTTATCCCCAAGTATTACAAAAGAAAACTGCCAAAATAAAGAACATTATAAAAAGAACATAAACTTTAATGTTATAGAGGGAGAATATTAAGTTGAAACTGGTTCTCATGGTGACAGAATTTGAATTAGCCTATCTTCCTATAGTCTGGAAAGTGTGAAAATTAGACAAAGCATACCCTGGTCTTACAGAATTGAGACCTAAAAGAGGAACACACCTACATAACTCTCCACTCAACCTGACTTTCCCTCCTTTTAGGACATCTGTTGAATCATGGCACAGAAATAGGATATAAACAGAAAATAGTATTCTTACTCTATTCTGTGGAGATAGTCTGTAGTTCAGGGGATGATGAAAACATCAGGAATTTGTAAGGCAAAGATCTAGAAAGAAGGATATTACAGAGGAGCAAGTTCAAAACACTACATGTGATTTCCCCTTGGATTTCTAATAGGTATACGGAGAATGAAACGCCAAGAAATCCAGCAGATAAAAGTAGCTAATGACTAGTCAGAGATGAGAACATCAAAGTTGCTCTATGATGCTGAGAAGAAAAGCCAGAGTTCAAGTCTTGTCAGAGTAGAAAGGTCTTGGAGTAAGCATCCCATACTTTCAGTTAAGACCAAAGAAGTAAAATAGATCATCCCTAAAAAGACCCCCAAAACCAGACCTTTACAGGACAAAGGTCTAGCATTCTATCTGCCTGCTAAATATCACCATATTTGGAAATAACATCTTCAAGAACCTTCACATGTTTGATCCACAATGTTCAGCATGGTGAGGCACACTAAAGCCATAGACCAAATAATGAAAACCAAGAAGATCAGTATACAATAAAAAAAAAAAAAAACATAGTGATTCATTTAGTGGAATTATGAAACAGATTAGGAGCACATGGAAAACAGGGAGAATTACAACTGAAAAATGGAATCTAACCTCCAAAAAGTCACATTAAAATTCTGTAACTGAAAAAAATACATTAAGATTCCAAAAGATAAGTTTTTAAAATATTAGGAATAGAAGAACCAAGAATTAATAAATAGCCAAATAGACCAATAGAAGTATAGAAAAAAGGGTAGAAATACAAAGTAGAAAAAGTATAAAAGAAATATGTACAGAGTCAAAAGGTCTAACAAAACAAAAGTCATAATAGGAAGATAAAAAGAACAACACTGCTGAAATTTTTTTTTTTTTTTTTTTTTTTTTGGTACCGAGGATTGAACTCTAAGCCACATCCCCAGCCCTTTTTGTATTTTTTTTTAAAGACAGTGTCTCGCTGAGTTGTTTAGCACCTCGATAAGTTGCTGAGACTGGCTTTGAACTTGCAAACCTCCTGCCTCAGCCTCCCAAGCCTCTGAGATTGTAGGTGTGTGCCATTGCACTGGGCTAGAGGATTTTTGTATTGTTCATGAGGTAGTAAAATATTAATTCAAGGTAGATTATGAAAGTTAATTTGGGGGGGCTGGGATGTGGCTCAAGCGGTAGCGCGCTCGCCTAGCATGCGTGCGGCCGGGTTCGATCCTCAGCAGCACCACATACCAACAAAGATGTTGTGTCCGCCGAGAACTAAGAAAAAATAAATAAATGTTAAAATTCTCTCTCTCTCTGTCCCCCTCTCTCACTTTCTCTTTAAAAAAAAAAAAAAAGAAAGTTAATTTGGGACTAAGTTTGGGGAACAGTAAAATTACTAAATCAAGGTAATCTAATAATTTAGCATATTGAAATCTCTAAGGTAATTACTAAAAGAATTATAGTATTATAAAATTAGGAAGCTAACAGTGGAAGAAAAATTTATGATAAAAATATAAGAACACTCAACATCATTAACCATTATCAAAATTATAATCAATGAAATAGTACCTCCCAACTGTGATGGTGATTAAAAAAAAAAGTGGGGGGCTGGATTTGTGGCTCAGCAGTAGAGCGCTCCCCTAGCACATGTGAGGCCCTGGGTTCAATCCTGAGCACCACATTAAAAAAATAAAATGTAAATAAAATAAAGGTATTGTGTCCAACTACAACTAAAAAAAAAAAAAAGACAAGTATCGGCAAGGTTGTGGAGAAACTGGAAGCTTCGTCATACATTGTTGGTAGGAGTGCAAAATGATGTAGCCAATATGAAGAGTAATTCTATTAGTTTTACTACAACTTTTGGAAAAATTGAAAATCTGGGATTGCTATCCAGAAGATTTCTAAATGTGGCATTCTGGGGACCAACAAGTGGAAGGAGTTGCTAAAAGATGAAACCATTGAAGAATGCAGAGCTAATGGAAAGAAAGAGTGAGTTCTACTACCATCATCTGAGCCCGCCCTGGATTTGCCAATGCCTGAATAAGTCCCGCAGTATTCAGATATATAAAATAATACAATCTCATTTTGGCTTAAACCAGTTTGAAATAGGTTTTGTTAAGTGCAATCCCAGGTTCATGATAGTTATGCCCATTGTATAACATTCAACAACTGCCTTGTAAACACAAATGCCATTATTATCATCTATATCATGATACAGATAAGAGAATTAGTTGTCAAATCTCAAACTTTTTTTTGCCCAGGAATGTTGTATAATTCAGGTCTGAATCTATCCACCAGTGGAAAAGCAAAGAAGTAGCTAAATTTTTTTCAAGATATTCAGATTTGCAGGGCTGGGTTTGTGGCTCATCGGCAGAGCGCTCTCCTAGCAAGTTCGAGGCCCTGGGTTGGATGCTCAGCACCACATAAAACTTGGGACCCACTGAAGAAGCTGTGGCAAAAGCTGATAAAACTGGCTGAAGAGCATTCATCCTGAGAGATCCTCTTGCCAAATTTAAGTACTCATCCAGTGTATTTTCCCTCTCCTTGCCTTTAATCCTAAAAAACCAGTTTTCTGTGTAGGCCACACAAGAGCCTGATTGAAGATGATGTTCTGTTTGAAGAATATTTAAGGTTTCCAATAAAATGTACACCCCTCAGGGGAAAAAAAAAAAGATTCAGATTTTGAAAAAGTAGAACTTTTCAGTAATTCAGTTAGATTTGATAAATACAATGGCAACTTGAACCACAATATTTCTGCCTGGTAAGCAAGTTAAATTGTATTATTTCTCTTATCTTCCCTTCTACTCCTTTTTCTGCATAATCAGATACATATACATAAATAAATGTACATTTCATTCCAACTTAAGATCATTGATGAGTGGTCACATAGTTTAATCACATAGTCTACACTGAACAAGATAATTTTGGGCAAAGATAAGCATAAACATTTTTATACAAAAGTGTTAAAAGTGCTCTACATGGGAGGAATAGATGAATTCTAGATGGGGAAGAGGGGTGGGAGGGAAAAGGAGGAGGCAGGGGATTAGAAGGATGGTGGAATGTGATAAACATCATTATCCAAAGTACATGTATAAAGATACAAATTAGGTGTCAAATACTCTATATTCAAACAGAGATATGAAAAATTGTGGTATATATATGTAGTAAGAATTGTAATGCATTCCGCTGTCATTTATTTATTTTTTAAAATCAATTAAAAAAAGAACTATGAAAAAAGTGCTCTTTTTTAAGAGGTTAAAATTTTATATATACACAATATGCATTTAACATTTATTTTATGCAACTGAAATCAGCTTTGGCAAACAAGAAGATTAGTATTTTTACAAACGACAATCAGAATTGGAATAATGGATGGATTCTGAAATATTATTTCCTTAAATAATTGCTTTACTATTCTGAAGTATTAATACTTCTATTAAAAAACTTCAATAACTGGGACTGGGGTTGTGGCTCAGAGGTACAGTACTTGCCTACCATGTATGAGGCATTGGGTTCGATCCTCATCACCACATAAAAATAAAAATAAAGATATTTTGTCCACCTATAACTTAAAAAAAAGGTTGATTTAAGACCTTCTTAAAAAAACTTTAATTACTTATTAAATATCATGATAATCTCCATTTTTATTACTCTCTTTCCAAAAAGGACACAATTCAAACATATACTTTCAACAGCATACTATAACAATCACATTAGACAATGATATTTTCCTATGAATTTTAAATTTCTGGATAATCAAATAAATAGGTCCTTTTGAAAAAAAATTTTTACTTATGTATATCCTACACAATTCAACTTTAGAGTACACTAGACTTTTAAAAATAAGATTAATTATGCAAAATGGCACAAGTTGAAACTGAGGCTAATTAATACAAACTGTTCTCAAGATATAGTGGACTTAATAACAATTATTTTAATATACATCCAACTGTGCCAATACTGTGAAACTATACAGGTGTATTTACTTGAGTTACATTTCTAAGGAGTATTTACTGAACTTTCCCAATTTCCATGAATTCAAATTACACTCAGCTTTATCAGTTAATAAAACATGGTTGAGAAATTCTAGTAAATGCCACCCAAAAACATTTGTGACCATATTTTTAAAACATTCAAATTTTTAAAAGCAATTTAGCATAATTTTACAGACTGCAAATGTAGCAGTGAGGTATTAAAATACATAAAAGACACAAAAAAAGTGGGAACATACCCTTTTTAGTTGCTGTTCTTTTAAACTTCTCACAGTCCTGGCAGGCTCAGAAATGAAGTTTTTATAATTTTCACATATATTGATCCGAGACTGGGCTACCTGCATTGTTCCCTCGAGAAAGGATTTCCAAACAGGATACATGCTCCTAAATTCAAAGAGGGATAGAGAAGTATTAGGCAGGAAAATGCAAGAAAATCTAATCTTTTGCTCACTGTCAAACACTGACAGAATAAATATCTTCTTCAGAACCATAAATATTTATTTATGTTGGCTTCAAGGCAATATTTCAGCATACAGAAAAGCATGGCATATACTCTACCCCACTATTATTCAGCAATGGGGAGTAAAGGAATACAAAGATTACAATTTGAGACAGCAACACTATAAAAATAGTGAATAATATAGACTTTTCAGGACTTTCACTGTCACAGGGTCATCAATATGAATAACAGATTATTATTACTTCATCATGGTATTCTATTTTATAGACTCAGATTTACAGAGTAACTCTTGGTCATACAACATGACAGTATAGAAATAAAGATGAAGATTGGTTACCTCTAAATTACATTCTCTTTCAACTATACTGTCTTACATAAACCCATTTGGCTAGAAAAAATAGATGTCATGAACAACTAACTGCTTATATGCTTGAGAAAGTCCATTTTGTCAAACAAAAGGAATCTGTGATATTGTTGCTCTACATCAGTCTCTGTTGTAATGTGCTCAGCATCACACTGTGCTTTGAAGTCATTCCAAGCAAGTCCCACCACCTTGCTTGATAAATGTGCTCAGCAATCTCTTGGTAAAGTCAAAAAATTATTCATCTTTTGCTTTTGCTAGTCAATTTCCTTTTCAAACCTTCTCTCCTAATTTGTTAAATGCCTAGCTAATCCTCTTATTTTCCTCCATTAGCCATAATCTATCTTATAACTCACCATAACAATGGATGATATTTTGTATTTTAAAATGTGACACCTACGTGTAGTGAAATTTTAGTAATTTTAATATTCATCTCCTGAGATTTCCCTCCTAGTGTTCAAAAGGATTTTCTACTATAGCAATGTGTGGGACCATATACTACAAAAAATGCTAGCTATGGGTCAATAGAAGACAGTGTAAAAAAAAAGAAAAAGAAAAGTTGCCTGGTCCCTATACTAGTTAGAACTTAAAAAAAAAATTCATAAACTATAATTTTTAACCAAAGAGTCTTAGGGATCTGTCCATGTAATACACCAAATCAATAGAGAATAAAATATTTGTTTATTTTGGCAGATATATCACCATCCCTTTGGGAAAACTCATTATGTTGCATTAGCAAAACAAAACAAAACATCAGTATAAAAGCACTAACTGACTTAACAACAGCAAAACTGGTGTCCTCCTTGGCCTTTCACAGCAAATGACTTATGAGGTGAACTCCTAAACAGTCCAAATAATTGATTTTTCCCAGAGAGTGAAGTGAAAGAAAAGTTCAATACTATGAAAAGTTCAGCAACTATTAATCTATACTTAAAAATACATTTTTAGGGCTGGGACTATAGCTCAGTGGTAGAGAGCTTGCCTAGCATGAGTGAGGCACTGGGTTCAATTCTCAGGACCACACAAAAATAAACAAACAAAAGGTATGTGTCCTTCTACAACTAGTGTGTGTGTGTGTGTGTGTGTGTGTGTGTGTAATGCATTTTAAAATCAAAATAAAAATGAAAAGCTAACATTATGAATTCTAACAGAGGAAGGGAGGTCTTGGCAAGGGAGGGAGCACCTTCTTCCCTTCACCCTTTCACTTGGGTAACTGCTGTTCACTATTCAAATCTTAGTTTAATTATACTTTCCTCTGAGAAGTCTTTCATAATCACCACCAGGCCAACCCCCAGACTCAAAGCAAAGTGTTCATAGGTAGAAGTACTTTTCCTGTAAGTATAAAAATTTGTCATGTAAATGTTCAGTTAATGTCCTTCCCTCTCACTAAAGTGAAAACTCCATGAAGGCCAAGTATATGTTTTGCTGACTATGGTATTTCTAGGGCCCAGTAAATATGGAATGATTATAATAATGTGTTGAATGAATAAAGGAATGAAGAGATGAATGTCTGAATCATGAAGATTATACAATAACAAGAGAAATCCTTTCATCATAAAGGGAGTTTAAAAAAAGACCTCTAGAGATTAGCAGATTAATAGCAAGTAAACATATCTGTAACAATGCAGTACCATGAAAAGCATGGAATTCAGTTACCAGGCAGAAGACCTGAAATCAAGTTTTTAGTTTAACCAATACAATCATATGTAGCTCACTATACTTTCATTTCCTTAAAATGCAAATGAGGGGGAAAAAAAGCTTGAGTTCCAGGACATTTTTCTCTCTTAGTGTACTTTTAACTCACTGGTTATTGTTGGTATGTTCTGGGGGTTCTTCTTCATCTCCTGGCCCTATAATGCTGGAGTGCTCCACAGTCAGTCTCCAGCTTCTCGGCTTCTCACAGACTCTTGGATGAGCTCATCTAGCTCATGGCTTTACATACTATCACCATGCTGACCTGTCCTAAACTTTTAATTCCTGCCCACACATCTTCCCTAACCTTCAATTGCCTATTTAACATACCCACATTTATTATATCTTAAAACTAACATGTCCAAAACCAAATTATTAATGTCCCTAGACTCTGTTATAGCAATATACTCCATCTCATTGACAGCTACTCAGACTTAGTTGCTCAAACTCAATTCCCAGAATTGTCAATGATTCTTCACTTTTCTCTTGCATTGCACATCTGCTTCTATAAAGAAATTTTGTTTGCTTAGACTCACAAAACATAATAGAAATTAATTACAGTTTATCTCTTCCACTGTGACCATCCTCGAGTCACCATCATTTTGTGCATGGATTACTGCAGCAGTTTCTGCCTCCGCCCCCTCCCCTAACCACCAGTGTTCTACACAGTGCAGTGACTGCAGAGCCACAGCTCCCTGGCACTCTATCCACCTCATTAAATATATGTCCTTATCACCAACTGACATATGTATTTAATTATTCACTTGTTTACTGTCTTCCCTCACTAGAACATAGGCTCCAGCTGGCAGAAGGGTTGTTTAAGTCACCTTTATATTCTCAGCACCTAAAATGGGTATGGTGTTGCAGTCACTGGAGGAGGAGAGAAGGGAATGAAAGGTCCTAGATTAAAACCCACATTTGTCTGACTCCCAAACCTCACTATTCTGGTGACATAAGACTCTTTAATCTTAGTAACAAGGCTAATATTAAAGAGGACCTTTTCATTCCAATGAAGCTATACTGAGATCTATGTGTCTGAAATCTTTTGCATATCTCCTACAGTATTTTTGGTGCATACCTTTTGCATAATTACTCATCTTTTTTGTAACTGACTTTACCTTTTAAACTAAAATACACTTTTATATCACTTTTTATAACTGAAAAACAATACTTGCCATAATTAAGTTATAACTAGTAAAATACAAATACATTCACCCACTTATACCTGTAAACTATTGCCAAAGGTAGGAGAACTGAGGATCAAGGAGAAGAAATGCCCAGAGATAAGGAGAGACAGATTTTTCATGGATTTGCATATCACAAAAAGAAATTTAAATTTCACCCTATTGGCAAAAAGAAACAAGATTTTCAACCAGGGGAGTGGGAGGAGACCAATTTTACAAACACATAAAGACAATTATGATAAAAGGCAAAGAGAGTTTATTACCTTGTAGCAAACAAACAAACAATAACAACAACACAAATGTGAAAAGGAAAGATCCCAGCAGAGCAACAGCTACTTAGCATTCCAGATAGGAGAAGATGAGATCTAGAAAGAAGGTCAAGTTGCAGGCAGTTATTTTTTATTCTCTAAGCTGAAAGTCAATAAAAGTATATGATCATTGTCAGTTTATAGACAATAGATAAAGCCAGGAATATAGATAAGATTACTGAGAAGAGTCACTAGAGAGCTAAGGGAACTTTTAGAAACATTTACAGAGAAAAGTCTGAAAATATTTTCTCAAACATTTAAGGAAAAAGCAAGGGGGAGAGAAACTAGTGTTATAGAAGTCTATAGTTTCCAGGAAAATGGGGTTTCATGGCATTAAATAATACATGTATCAACAGATTGGCAAACAATATAAAAGACTGATCACATGTACTGTTGGTAAGTAAATAAATTGGGTGATTTTTAAATAGTATTAGAAGAAATGTAAAATATATTGATAGAGTTTATGCAGGACAATTTCTACAATCAAGATTTTGAACATATAAACCCTTCACCTAAAATGTCCTCTCTAAGAATTTACCCTAAGAATATACTTTCACAGTGTATGAAGATATGTGCAAAAGGAAATTATTCACTGCAGCATTATTTGTAATACTCATAAACTAAATAACTACCAAATAGGGAAATGGATACGAAACTATAACTCATCCATATCGTGACACCAAAATGTACTGCTATGAAAGGGTGTCTGAAACACTGTTTACAGAAACATATGCACACAATAATTCCAGTTCTGTCAAAAAGGGTAAAACTGTGTATGTTCATGAATAAATCACACAGAAAAAAATTAAGGGAAAGAAAATACCATAGGCTTTTTATAGCAATAACTCCATGGAGTAGGAATGAGAATAGAGAGGCTTGGGAAAGGAGATGCCACAACTGTTTTGTACTATTTACCTCCTTAACGAAAAGCATGAATAACTTGGATAAGAATTTTTAAACTGCCAACACAAATATAAACTTAAAAATTCAACAATTTAAAATGACTAAAACCAGGTAAACTATGAAGAGCATCACATCCCCCAAAAAACTATGAAGAACACCACACTTCCCATGCTCACACTCAGTACTGATCTTTCTATTGTCTTTTTTTTCAGAACCCAGATACCTAAATTAAAAAACCTGGGAGTCATTGTACAATCCCTTCCACCCCTCCTCTTACTTCTTTCAGTCAGCCAGTCAGCAAATATTTATCAAGTGCCTTTTATATGCCAAGAGCTATTTTAGATACAAAGACAACTGTTTATAGTTTGTCCCAGAACAAATTTAACAAACTTAAAAAAACAAAACTGCCAAATCAACTGCAAGTCCTCTGGCGTTAGTCTCCTAAAGTATCTCTGAAATCCCCCCCACATTCTAATTTTTACTATTATTTCCATAGTTTAAATAAGAGATGAGAAGGGATTAAATTCCTTTGAGTCTACGCTCCCTGAATTCCTTACACACCCCTCTAATCCACCTTCATACTGTGATTAATGGAAATTGATCAAATCATTCCTGTTGTAGAAATTTTTCAATGTCATCATTATCTTTTGAATAAAAAGAGACACTCCATAATATAATACACAAAGTCCTTATGATGCCACCTTAGATGTTCTCCATATCCACCACTCTGTCTATCCCCCAAGCTGTATACTTCACATACTGAACTGCTCACTGCTACCTAATATTCATATTTTCCCATATTCTATGCCTTAAAGATGTTACTTCTACTTAGAATTTCATTTACCAAACTGGTAAACTCTTGCCAGAGCTCAAGACTAAACTATCCAAGCTTAAGTTTTCCTTGATGGTCTCAATGCACCTCTACTACTGCGACCTGATAGGACAACCACTTATAGTGGCTAACTCCTGTAAGCTCTTAAAGGACAAACATCATATCTTTTAGTGTCTCTAATCCTGAAATCTCCTTTAGTAGCTGACATTAATAGGTATTACATATGTACATCTTGAATTTTTTTTTTTAATTTTTATTATTTATTTTCTAGTTCTCGGCGGACACAACATCTTTGTTGGTATGTGGTGCTGAGGATCGAACCCAGGCCGCACGCATACCAGGCGAGCGCGCTACCGCTTGAGCCACATCCCCAGCCCACATCTTGAATTAAAGAAAAAAAAAGAATGAATGCATGAGTGTATAAAGAGTCTGTTTTAATAGACCTTGAGTAAGGTATATAACCCAAGACCCAGTGTCCTAGTGTATAAAACAAGGATAATTAAATCTGCCTCAAGGTTATTTTAATAATCATGGGACACAAGTGAAAGGTCCTAGCAGTGTCTGATGTATACTGAATATTTAATAAATGTTTGCTTAAGCTTGCCTTAAGTGCAGCTTTTTTTTTTCTCTCTCTCTTTTTTTTTTTTTTTTTTGTGTGTGTGTATGTGTTTGTGTGGTTTGGAGATCAAATCAAGGGCCTCACACATACTAGGAAAAGTGCTCTACCACTGAGTTACCACCTTAACTCCCTATTTCTTTGGTAACTTGAATACTGAATTTCAAACTAAGTTGGAATATAGCTTATCCGTAAGTTGGACTCCTTTATTCCCTAACAAGCAATCCTTTTCTGGGTCAGGATGAATTCTTCATATCAGTAATTCTAAGCATGCTCAGCCTCACATCAAGATTTTGTTCTAACTGTCTTTTTTGCATAGAATTTTATTTTCTGTTTTAATACTCTAAGTTGGAATTATACCATTCTATTATTTAAAGCTATCATGCTACCTTTTAAGTTAGTCACTGAGAGGAACTATTAGGATTTCTTATATATGCTCTAGCCCCATTATCACATACTTCAGAAATTCTGATAGTTGCCAGTCTTTACTGACAATTCAAAAGCTTGATTTCATATTCAGACTCTAAACCATACACTTCAATACTGAGTTCTTCATTACCATGGGTTCTCTATTATTGTTTCTTAATTCCAACCATAAAGCCAGTTCTAAGATCTTTGACTTCTGGGTCCTCCAATATTAAGAACAGCCTTGAGCACAAAAGGCAACACATACTACCAAATTAACCCCCCAAAAGACACTGAATTCTAAGCAAAATTACACATTCAATATTGATAGGTTACTAAGGACAATTTATATCCCATCACAACATATCTTCTTTAAAATTATTAATTAATATTATTATTAATTATGTAGGATATTACCAAGCCAGGTTCTGGATACCCTGTTTATATATACATACACACATTTCTAAAATAAGTATTGTGTTATACAAAGGAAGCTCTTTCCCTTAAAACATATTAGAAATTTTTTCCCCCTAGTACCACAAAATCTCATCTTTCCAAATTCAGAATTTACTTCAGAAATAAACAATCCATGATCATGACAATCTGCCTCATTATTGTTGCAATAATATGTTTTATCATAGGTCGGCAAGAAAACAAATTTGTGTTCTACTGCCATCTAGGTTCTTTATATCTCATATGTGGATATTAAAGAAATTATATGCAATCTCAGTGTAAGACATAGGAAAATGACCTAATTTATACAGAGTATCTACATATGTTAAAAATGTAAAAAATGAAAATAAAAAAATTTATAATTCTGAAATTGTGTCTAAAAACATAGCAAAGAAACAATTATTTCAAAAATTAGACTGTTATGTTAGCTGTATGTAATAAGGCTCTGAATAAAACCATTTTTAAAGAAAACAAGAAAAAAACACTTAGTTAAGTTACCTGTAATCATTCCGATCATCAGCTTTAATTCCAGGCCAATCTCTCTTCAGGTACTGACTAGCCAACTTCTGGATACCCTGTTAAAAAAATATATTTTTTTTTCTAAAATAAGTATTGTGTCATACAGGAAGCTCTTTCCATTAAAACATATTAGTTAGAAAATCCCATTGTTCCAAATGAAAATTTAATTCAGAAGTAAAGAGCCAATGACAGAACATCACAAACTTCTCTCTTTATTGTCCAGTCCTCTCGTCTCCATTTTTAGGAAAAAGATGAGCCTGAGGATGAAGACACTGAAACTTAAGTGATATGCATTTCACTTCACCAGACCATTTGACTAACCATAGAACAAACTATCTCTGGTATGAAACAGGGAACACAGTTGTCCAACTCCAGAGCTTGGATCACACAGTTTGACATCTCAGTTTCCCACCATTCCTTAGTTGAGGTGTGGGCACATTTCTAAGTCCTAGCAACAAATTCTCACATTCAAGAGAAGGAAGACTGCATTTAATTTAGAGCAAACAGACAAACAATGGCTTAAGGATTAATGAGCAAACTTTGGTGGTGTATCATACTAGTAATTCTCCAGACAGATTGGAGATTTTTTTTTCTTTAAAAACAAACAAAAAATAATAATAACACAAATCATTTCAAATCAAATAAATTAGTTCTACCAAAAAATAAACCCACTTACTATTATCTATACAATATAAATCTGGACAAAACAATAACTATCTATAATATGGAGGAGCTATGGGACTCTTGAAGATTTTTTTTGTTGGGAAATGAAGTTAAAATACTCATTCCAATTATGTAACATATTACTTTTAGATAATAACAGCCATGGGCCTCTAACATTATAGCAGGGCCAACATAATTGGATTTTTAAAGAAATCATTAATTTTGGGATATTGATTTCTACCTTGTAGGTATTTAAAAAAAATAATAAGAAGAATACTATGCTGAAATGAAGAACAATCACAGAAATTCATAGACCATCTACTTTAAGCAAACGTTGTTCAACTAAAAAAAAATCAATGTTTCACTCTATAAAAGGTAACTTTCTAATAAGATCTGCTAGCAAATCAATTTTGCTTAATTAAATTCATTATTGAGAGCCTTTGTTGAAATAGCATCATTTTATTCCAAAGTGTAGCATGAACTGACGCAACTTAGAATCTCAAGTTCCTCCTGAACTTAGCAATAGTTTGGTTCCACTATTTCCAGGAATTGTATTCTACAATATATAATACTTTCACTTAACCTATCTCATACTTTGGGAAACCAAATTACTAAGGTTTCCCGGAATATATGCAGTATTTTGTCACTTCTGTACCTTATTCCTACAATTCCCATGGCATGAAATATCTTCTCATCACTACCATTCCTATTTGCTGAACTCTGTTTCACTGCTTTTTAAACTGATACATATATTTCCTAACACAAAACACTCAAAAGTACATACAGTAAAAAGTGAAAAGTTTCATTGCATAGGTATTTAATTTCATTTCAATCCAGCGTAACAATTTATCATTCTTCCTGCATTTATTAGCTATAATCCTACAAATATCCATCCCTGAACTATTTTATTGCTTTGAGGTGCAGTTCTTAAGAGAAAAGATGGGATAAATATTTGATTGTTCAATTTTGTTCCACAGATGAGTAATGAATTTTAAAAGTAACATTTTAAACTCATGTAAACTCATATATTTTAAACAATGATATGTTCCAATTAATTGCAGTCATTTTTCTTTAGATGCTCAAATTGTCCTCAAATTGTGCCTTTCAAGTTGGCTTCTATATTGTACCCCAAGAATTTGTTTGCTTCTTTGTTTTCTCTAACAGATCCTTTCACAGACCTGCTTCTCTCTGTAATACCTGACTCCTTTCAGTAAGAAACCATATTTAGAGCACACAATCCAGGCACACTTTCATACTTCAGGTTTTTGTGTCTTTCTCTAAAATGACTTTTCTAACCACTCTACATAAAATAGTTCACCCTCTATCCAGTTATTTTCTCTCATACAACACTACTCATTCATAATTCTTATAGATGGTTAGTATCTGATTAAATTATAGTTGTCTGGTTGATTACAAGCTCCATCGGGTAAAGATTTTCTCTCTTATTTATTTAAATCACTATAGCCGTAGGTTATAATACAGAGACTAGCATTTAATTACTAATAACATTCACTGATTGTATAAATTAATGCCTCCTACATTACTGTTTCTAATGTATGACAGTAATCTCCTTTTGCATTTTTGACATTCTGAGTTAGAAATACTTGATTAAAACTTTTCCGGTTCCTGCTGGATACAGTGGTGCCTGTCTGTAATTCCAGGGACTCGGGAGACTAAGGCCAGAGGATTGCCAAGTTCAAGACCAGCTGTAGCAACTTAATGAGACTCAAAATAAAAAATAAAAATGACTGAGGATGTAGCTCAGTGGTTGTGTACCCCTGGGTGAAATCCCCTATACTGCCAAAACAACAACAACAACAACAACAAAAAAACTTCTCTGATTCCTAATTTCTGTATACTCAAAGGAAAAAACATGCTGTACTAGATTTTTGAAATTATGAGTAGGTGCCTTAATATAATAAATAAATTGATCAATAAAATTATAATCAAATTTGACCATTCTCACTATTGAAATGGAATATCCACACATATGTTCCACACATATGCAGAGAAGGTATCACATGTTAATTTTTATGAAAGCTGAAATAAGTCAAGCTCCCTGAATTACAAGAACTCATCTGTTAGAGAGGAATAAGAAGTATACAAAATAAAATGTTAGGCTTGGTTACTACCACATAAGTGGTACAATGTGGTAAAGTACCCAAATAAGGAAAAGATCAGGTGGCATTTTCTTTACAAATTACATATAAGTTACATATTCTGTTTGATTGCTGCTAACAAATTGTTTAGCAGATTAGGTCTTGAACAATGATCAAATGGCTCTTTAAGTATTTGCAGAACACTTCACACAGAACATAGATGTGACATGGACCTCTTCTCACTCTTGAGCAGGACCAGAACACTGTGCAGAGTGACAGTACTCTCCATACAGAACAAGTGAACTAAATTACCAAGTCCTTTCACACATACATTTCTTTTACCTTGTTATAAATACAGAAAAATAGGACATTTGCTAAGATTCTTAAAGTCATAAAGATGACGCCTAGTTAAGTTTAAACTAGAGTTGCAAGTTATCAAAAAGTCTTTACAAAAGACATAATTTTAAAGTGGATTTTATCTAATTTTCAAAAAAGCATGAAATTATGTTAAAATTTTTTGTGCATTATAAATTACAACATCAGTTTCTAGAACTCTAAACCACAAAGTTGAACTGTATTAAACTGAATGGGCCCTTCAAAGATGAGATGAGGGATTCATGAATCAGACAAAACAGTGCGATCTCTAGATGAAAGACTTTATTCAAGTTAGTTCACAGAGACAGGAATCACAATTTCTGTGTGCTCTGCGCAGCTGTTCAAAACCTAATCTGCATGGAAGCTAAGAAATACACTGGGGCCACTACAGGAAAGGACCTAAACAATATTTAATGCCTCTAGTAGAATTCTACACTTAAATTAACTAGTTTCTCTCTTACATCATGCTTAAAGTTACATCTGATGAATGAAAGGTTTATTTATATAGAAAATTGTCTACCCTAATTAATTTGCTATGGAAAATAAACTATGGCTTACAATAAAAAATAAAATTCACTCCCCAGCCTATAGCATTACTCTCTGAAATTTGTTCACTAGACATATGTTTATTTATATTGACAGGAGTATCACTGATGCATAATGTTGATTTCTACTATAGTTCATTCTGGAGCAGTGAGTTCCATAAAGATGTAGTTCTATCAATATGCCCTTTAGAACATTCAGTGACATCCCATTCCAACTTTTTAAAAAGCCATCAGTGTCTGATGTGAGACTTGCTTTGTTTTACCTCTCAATAACTCTTGCTGTATTGCTTTAACAAATGAAGAAATACAAAGAAAGCCACTGTTGAGTAGACACTGGGAAATGGACTGATGGTTTAACCTTTGGCCCATTCACCAGAGCAAGCTAAGCAGGAGGATCCTCCATGGCTCTGGCACAGGTTATTTTGTATACTGTTCTTGACCCAGCATATACTGAAATTTAATGTTTTAAATAAAATTTAAAATAAAGGTTTACCATCATATGACTTTTTTAAAATATTAGGAAACCATATTCTTTAATACTATGTTTAGGAATATTAGGAACCACAGTCTTGACATACTACATTATTTTTTGAGAGAGAGACAGTGAATTTTTTTTAATATTTATTTTTTAGTTTTCGGTGGACACAATATCTTATTTTATTTTTTTTTATGTGTGCTGAGGATCGAACTCAGCGCCCCTCACATGCCAGGCAAGTGTGTTACTGCTTGAACAACATCCCCAGCCCCATACTACACTTTTTTGACATGAATTTCTCAACATCAGGCAAAGTATCATTTAAAAATTAGGTTCACTACATATAAGCTAAATACTTTCAAACTGATGGAATGATCAAATAATTGTCTTTGCTATATTCTTAAATCACATTAACAGTAAAAGATTAAGAACTTTATTCCTTAAATTATGAAATATCTTTCATGGTTTTGTATAATACATAACTGGAAAAAAAAGTTAAGCAGTATATCTTTTAAATAACATAATAAATTACCTTTAATTACTTTTCTATTAATTTCATGATGAAATGAAATATTAATCTAATGTTGTTATGTGCTTAAACACTAAATATATATTTTAGTTTTTTTTTGCTTTCATGAAAAATAAAGATTAATTTTATTTAATTATGTAAAAAAATAAGAGCTATAGACATTTTAAATAACTTGTCTTGATTTAAAGATCAAACACAGAATAAGAAATGTATGAAATTTAACTCTAATTTATAATAAAAACTCAAAAAACTTCGGAAGGAAACTTCCTTAATCTAAATTTAAAAATCCACCAAAACCCTGCTGCTAACATACTTTCGGAATAAGGTACTAATCCTTTTTGACATTTTCCCGGAAGTCCTATTTACCTAG